AAAAAGTCATAAAAATATTTAAGTTTTTTTTATAATATTAAGAACTGCTGAAAAATATATATAACTAGGTATTTTTTAAATTTCTTGATTGTAAAAATTTGGGTAGAAAACACAACCAAAGCGACAAAAAACATGATATTTTTTGAAATGAAAAAATGAGCTCGTTTATCTAGCGTTCATTCCCAACACACTTTCTAATATATGCATTTTTTTACTTCTGAATCTGTTATTTTTATCGAAAGGCATGTTGAACAAAATAAAACAATCGAACCCACATATAATTCATAAATTTTATTACAGCGGCCTACATAACGGGGGATAAGAGGCAATTAATTGGCTTATTTCATGTTTAATTTATAATGAATAATGTTCTTAAATTGGCAATTTCAGCTTATGCCCGGAGCTGGCTCGAGATGTAAGTTTACGAGTACATTTACAACTTAGCAGAGTAAAAACATGCGGAAGATAATTTGCGTGACATGTCTGAAGTTGTTCAGAAATAAACGGTTATGTTGTTTACTCTTAGAATTTTATCGCTCTAATACTTTTATAAAGATTATAATAATAAAGCCTTTTTTAGAGCATTTAGTTGTGGTAGCAATTTGGATCTTATCTCAATACTAAATAAGGTTAAGTTTCGATAATTTTTGGCTTATACGTCGGATTATAATTTTATATAATAAATTTAATTCAGTCCTTGAGATTATGCGGTATACATGAAGGTTTCAAAAACGTACTGCGTCAATGTTGTCCTGATTTCAAACATTGCTATCATAATTTAATAGGGTCGTTGTGCTAGATATTTATCAGCTGATTTAAAAACAAAATAAGAACCAAAAGATCGACTAGTACTATGATAAAATAAATATTACTTACTAAAGTTATAAATCCACAAAATCTTATCTGAATATATCTAGGAAGTTCTATATAGACTTAAGATCTGTAGAATGTCATGGTATGAATGTCAAATTAAATTTTCTGCCGTAACAAAGATAAAACGATACGTCACACGGAAGGAAATGATTGAATTAGATAAGTCCCAGTTTGCGGAAACTTGGTCCACGTTCACATATAGTGTAACGTAATTGTTTCAATGATGCTGTTATTACAGATAAGGTTTCTCGATAACAATGACTGTCATTGATTACACGATGTTCCTTTATAGTTTACTTATAAAGATTAAATTGAAAATTTAAATTAAATATATATTAATCTTCATTTCAAACTTACAATTTGTAAGTATACAGGGTGACTGGTGAATTACTATCAATATTTAAGGAGCATACTCGGTACATGATTCTCATTCGAATTATGTAAAAAAAATAGGTACTTAATTTTTGACCAAATTTCCGTATAAATAAATAAAGTGTGGACACGTTCCAAGTGTTCCAAGTGTGGACGCGTGCGGCAGCGTGCTGATACAACACTACGCCGCCGCCGCGTATGTGTGAGTGTGTGTGTATACCTAATCTGTAGGGTGTTCATACGATGCGTAATTAATTACATAACTTTTGGTTAATTTTACTTAGAAGTTTATTAATATTTATGTTATATTAATTTTTATTTTGTCATATATGATCGTCAAATATCACGTCCTCAAATATCGATAGTAATTCACCAGTCACCAGGGTGACTGTATACAGGTATATGACTCGGAATACAGGTATATGACTCGGAAAAATCATATTTGTACTTGCCAGGTTTCGAACGTGTGTACTCACGAGAGGCGAACCCTTAACCACTAGGCCACCGCGACTTGTATTATATGTTTATGTAAAATACGACTACATTATATATTATATAAGTATGTAAAGAATTTATTCCTGTTGCTAGTCAGATTAGATAGTGGTGACATCGCGAATGTTTGTCAATGGTTCTGTTTACCTTATCCCTACAATGTTTACCTACCTTGTGTTAAACTAACACGCACGTAACTTTTATACTATGTATTTTATTTAATCCAAATATATATTTTGTAGTATTGAAATTTTATTCTGATAATGAGTTAAATTGTTGGTTTCGGGTGTGGTTGAAATGAGTTGTCCGTTGGATGTTTCGTAATGTACATTTGTATGTCCGAGCTGGGAATGCTAGAATTTTGGTCCGCCTGTCGTTTGATGCCGTCGATGAAATATTTACGAAGTCCTCGTTTAATATTCGACACCAATTCTACGTTTTATAATCCAATTCGTATCTGATGAAATTTTTATTCGGCTCTATTTATATTTGTTTGCTACCCGTATTTCGTTTTAACTATAAGTTTTAATCATTTTTTTATTGCTATTTTCTTATTATGATAAATACTAATTTGGATTTACCCAATTCATAGATGAGATAGGTTATTCTAAACGGGTGATTTGATATCTAGGTCACAGTGTTTTCATCGAATGCAATTTTTGATGAAGTTTAACTGGCGAGTTCAGGTTTCAGCCTCGCCCTAATATAAATCGATTCGTATGAAACGGATTTTATCGTGTAATTGGCATACTCTTCGAGTGTTTTGCGGCCGTATTGTGATTCTTGTAAATTTATGATCATATCTGGGTCGAGTTGTTTCGAAGAAATATTTTCTTTTATAACGGATTTCGAAGAAATTAATACAGTTATTCTTGATATGCCATAAAAGATAATCGACTTAATTGTTTACATTATTTTAATTGAATGGACCGTTATCGTTCATATCTTTTTTTAAGTACTTACATAAATTTAGGGTGCAACGTTCCATCGGCGTCACGTTGTCGCCTTTGGGAGTTTCTTGGCATCTCACAGTCAGCTACCGTTTCGATAACTTTGTGTACAGAATTGCCCTATTTGTATCGGAGTATATACACTTGAAAAGTTTCCTATATCAATTTATTCTCCAAATATTTTGTGATACAGAAAATTCAAACATCACAGTTACTTGATATTCCATGAAACATCATACGTATAATTCAGTATCCACTTTGTGCAAGATTCAATAGAAACCTCTCGGTTGTAATTTGCTTTATCAAGCAAATGGATGTTCCGACTAAACGAGTTATTGAGACCTTGTTTTGTGAATTTCGGTAGCGGAGCGACTTAAACAGGTCACGGTCTATTTTAGCTGATAAGAATATTGTCTGATGAAGTTACATATGACAGATTTGTTTGAATATCATTTTATTAATGTTTTGGTATACTCTACATTAGTTTATTTTTTTGTAACGTTCTGTCTTAATATTGTATAGATTCACTCAATCATGTGTTAAAGTTCTGATCAGTAAAGAAAATTCTAACGCGATCTTTTTTTACCCTTTTAATTACACTTTCAGTTTGATATTAATATTTTTTTATTATCAGTACATTTATTTTCATGTCGAGTAGTGTCAGCCAAATTGGCGCTTAATATAATAATTAATTTAATTATAGCCTGATATATTGGTTGTAGTTCCAAATCTATATAATAATTTTTATTCTTCACACTACTATATGTTTAATGATTTAATACAATATGTCGCAAATAAATTTTGTTATTAATATTACATCGAAAGTTTATTATTAAAGTCGTATATCGTGTCTTATGAAATTCAATTGTTTTGTAGTTTGTGGTTGTTATTAATGGTGTGATGTGGTCTTGTATCAAGAGTTAACAAATGTGCCAAGATGACTGGCGGTTAATGTTTCATTAAACTATTAGTTATCTAATATGTTAAGATTTCTAGACCTTTATAGCTCCAGTTTGAGGAGTAAAATTTAATTGAGACTTCAATACATACTTCCTTCGTTTCAGTGATGTAATTAATTAATGATTAATTAAAAACTCAATTAGGACTTGGCTTTTTACTCGTTTATCTTGAATTTTTTCAACTTTCTTAGACAGAACTATTATCGTCAAATTGAAATTGTAATAATCAAAGATTGTTCAGAGATAGCTAGCTTATGAATAAAAAAATATTAAACTATTTGCCTTTCGCAGACGGATAATTCCACTTAGTGTAAAAAGTATACTTCTCTCCCACTACCTTATTGATGTTTCTGTTTTAGTATTTTTTTCTTATTTTGTTTTGTTGATAAGTTGTATTAACAAAACGTACATTTTCATAATTTTTATTAAGTTTAAAGCTGTAGTTTTAAAGTTTAAACGACCATTCAGTTTCCTTTAATTATAATAATTTTCTCATAATGATATCTGTAATCTTGGCGTGTACACATTTAAATGAAACTTAATTTATCGGATACTACTCGTTTTTAACACTGACACACTTTCATCTCGTCTTCCCGTGATCACGATTGCTGGAAAGGAACCGAAACGTCGGGATCATTTAGATATAAAATACAACTATTTTACATATAAATATAAATTTTAGGTGAATTCAATTAGGTACTTCTGTTGTGACTAGAAACCTATTCTCGTCTGATTAATGAGGTCAACTGAATAAAATCAATGAAATGTTTTTCTCAACCTTGAAAATAATATCGGTGAAATAAATTTTTACATCCAATGTAAAATAATAATTGGATTACTACAAAATTTACTACCGAAAAAAGTCACGAAGAGCTCCAATTCATTTATCAACTCGACACCCGATTAGACGCCCGCCGTTTGTAATTTTACGAACGCTTAATACAATTCAAGAGTTATGATCAAAAAATAATAGGAAAAAATTTTCATTTTTTTATATATGCTCAAGTACGTAGTGGTCATTAATTGACCATTTATTGGTCATGGTTTGGCCATGCGTTGGTCATAAGTTGACCATCATTGCATGTCGCTTGTAAGATGAAAATGAACGTTGGGTCAAAGTTTTAATATACATCATTGATAGTATAAATAAATATAGAATACTACATGTTGTTGGTACAATGAAACAACAAATCATTCTCCTATCTATTGATAGTCTCTGACATAATGTGTTCGTAAATCGTATTTATATATCACACGTAGAATATAATTATAGTTAGCAACAGTCAGTTATGATTAGAATTAGTTTTGTTTTATATGTTTTATGATATTTAATACATATATTGTTTAATTACAGGCGTGACAATGAGAGAAAAACGCGGAGGTGCCATGAGCAAAATGCAGAAGCTCAGAAAAAGATTGTCCCTGAGCTTTGGTAGATTGTGTAAGTAAAAAAATTATTATAAAACATTCGAGGTTTATTAATATTACTATGTATATGTAATGTTTATTTAAACTATAAATAAATATAATGACATCATATTGAATAAGTAAATTGTAATTAGGTAAATTACTTTAGTTATAATAGAAGGTGGGACGTTAATTTATCAAGTGTATTATTTTTAAAAGTAATAAATATGTATGTTTATAGATAAATAAATTTTCATTTAGAAAATATGTTGACGATTTCATTACTGTATCCAATACGCTTGCCACAGGTTTGTAAAGACGCGCTACATACGGCGTGTGTCCAGTTTTTCAGTCACAAATATAATATTATATATTGTGTATTAATTTCATATAGTGTAAATAAAAATTACTTTACGAGAAACGGTAAACTTTTACTATGTAGTGTGACATTCAAACTTGTGGTGAAATTATAACGCGATGTAACATAACAAAACCTTTATTTCTAATCGAAAAATGTTTTAAATGCTATGATCAATAATATTATATCAATTTTATTGTCAGTGAATATTAAAATGATTTAAAGATGAAATAATTCATACAGAGACAAACCAAGGTATATTTAAACCAAGTAAAGACGTTTTAAATACCATTCAATCTTTTGTTTTTGCCAATCAATTATCACATATTGTTTATAATGTAGTTATTTAGGTAGTAAGTGTATTTAGGTAGTATTAAAATATAGCCAATAAATAGCAACGATTGAGGATTGTTCGGCTTATTATCTGTGAACGTCATATCTTTATCAATTACGTCATAAAGCAGTGATCGAATTATGCGGATTTTGAATAAAACGATAATAATACCACATTACCACATAAAATATTTTTTTTTTACGTCAGTGTCATATGCATAACAGTATCGTATATCATTTTCAGTAATATCTTATGGGAATATTCTTTATATTCAGGTTTACAGAACATTCTGTGCTCACCGTAACGAATAAATAACACTATTTACGAGATATATGTGAGGGCGTACAGTAAATTCTCTTCATAATACACGTGCTGGGTATATTTAGAAATACGGGGGCTCTTTATAAAGTATCAGTATATTTTTTTCTTCGTAGTATTCAAAGCAGTGAATTTTACTACTGGAAACACACACATTTTATATATATGTATATACATAAGTTAAGTTATAATCGTATGTTGTAACTTGTAATCTTTTATTATACGTCATATTAAAGTGTATATAAATTCATAATTATATACCATTGCTTTTTTTAACATTAGTAGGATATATACAATTAATAAAATTGGTACAATTCAAGTAACAGATATAATTTGCATAATTAGCTCCAGCTCTATAAATGGTATTCGTTTTTAATTAAATTAAATTGGTTATTTAATCCGCATTTTCTATTTTCCTCTCGTGTTTAAACTTAGTAGTTATCATTATGTTTATTTTGTTTCTCCATTATCCCTTAACGCTCTCCAACCGATGATCTTCCCCTAGCATTTACTGTGATTCATTTGAATTGTTTCGATAATATTCTAGTTTTTATAGCTACTGAATTTCCTTAAGCTGTTTATAATTGTCTTTTTATTATATCAAGTGAAACTTTTTTGATAGTTTTCTGTTTTCGAAATTACCCGTACATAAGAACACATGCTCATTTTTGTGTTCAAAGTTAAATTTGCTAGTTTATAAACTTTAATTGTGTCTTCTATATGAAGAAAGTTTTCTTATATGTATATATAGTACATATAGAAGTGGATTTAAATTTTAATATACATATTGCGAGTAGTTGAAACGCTCTGGATTCATACTTTATACAAGTTGAACTAGACTTGAACTTATTTAATCCAACGGATTTCATTCGATGGAAACTTTCACGGATGCCGGGTCGACTCATGACAATTGGCCCCTTTGAAAAGTCATATAGCTGTTAAGATAAAACTTTGGTATCTACTTTGAGACGAGGATTCAACGGTATCATTATGGCTTTCTATTATAAAAAAATGATCGTATTGAATAATTAAACTTATATTAAGAATTAAGAATATCGTATATTATGTAAATCCTGATAGTAAATGATAAATTTGTGGATGGATACAGATGTAGAACAATAATTAGACACGACTTATTTTTAGACATGAAAAGAACTGAACTATTTTCTCTTATAATACTCTAAATCTCTCATTAAGTTTCATACAACTACAATATATATATATATATATATATATATATATATATATATATATATATATATATATTATTTTAGATATGTTTCTATGTAACCTTACTACTTCGCGGTTATATTAGCCCGAATTAAAAAGAATAAGAGCTATACATGATATAATAATGTTATTATTAATCACTTATAATAAAACGGTTTACACTACGTTTATATAATTTATTTGGATATTCTATTTAGAACATCACTATTGGTGTTATCAGTGTTCCAGTACCATTTTCTGTTTAATTTTGAACACTATATGCCACGTATGTTGATAGTACAATAAACGATAATATGAATTGGAAACATGAAAATCTATTTGTCCTTACAAAATTTCTTTCTATTTAATTTAGTAACATTGTCACTCAAAAGATCTTAAGTAGCTTATAATTCACTAGACCGATTTCCATAAAAATTAAGATGAATAAGAAGAATTTAGCCGTAGAAAATTATAGGTACTGATAAATTGATGAAAATAACCATAAACATTTGTAATTTTTCATTGTAAAGAAATATCGAAATTTTAACCTCTTAAGTGAAAGTAACGTATGTTTATTTTGTACATACTTAAAGTTAATTTAAAAAAAAGTTTATCGTCCAGAACCAATGCAATCTTTGAAAGAATTTTGATTTATGTAACATTCACCCATATAATATACACATTATTATTTTTCTCAAAAATTTACGTCTTATTAATTCAATCGTCAATTATAACAGGCGAATATGAGTTTCGTGTAGAAAGAAAAGATAGTCCAACAATGTTATGAATTTGTAATACCATTTAAAATATACAAAATATTTTATAGCATAATTGCAATGCAAATGTAGAATAATATAAAAGAATTATTTTAATCACAGTACATCGTTATTTTAACGGATGGTCTAAATGCCGAAGTTTGTTTTGGAGTTATGATCGTTGTGAAATGCTGGCTCCATTTGGACGTTATCTCTTCTGTAATCTGTCCGGGGTTATACCAATTTTACATGATTTAATGTCCTATTTTGTGAATTTCAATGCTCTGGTCTGAACAACTTGATGGTTTACTGCGAAATTGGATGACAAACGTGCATATTCTTTACGATTTGACTTATTACATCTATGGCAATATTAGGGCAGTGTGTGTGTGCGTGTTTTTATTTGGAATATATATATTTTTTATTAATTTATCCATACATAAACGTTATAGTACATTTGAGAAAATTTCCTTAAAAAGTTCCGCGTTTTAAGCGTCACGTATTAATGTCTTTTATGTAAACGAACCTTTTTTAGGTTTGCTTGAATCTCAAGTTTTATCATGTTTAATGTAGGTAATGTTTGTCCTGTCTCGATAGGATATGATTCATCGATAGCGCATGTTGTACACTTTGATTGATTCTTATCAGTCACTCACATTACTACCGCATCATAAACAGAATTGTATAGGAATATTTTCTTTTCATACAATCACTTGTTACAATTCAAATTATTTGACTGATATGAAAATGTATGAAAAATATTGTTGTCTGTATGGAAATTTCCTTTTGGTTAAATTATGAATTAATTATTTGGATTTTATTGTTATCTATTTAAATGATAATACACACTTTCCGTGGAACGAGTGATACATGTGTTAAATAAATTATTGCATACGAATTATTATTAACGAAGTTATTTATTAGGATATAATGAAAATTGAAATAATGGTATTTAAGATTTACACTGTATTCATTTAAATAAAACTAACATTTCATTTATAAATACTTATAGTAGATATTGTTTTGATAGATATATTAAATATTTTATTTAAATCTAAAGATCAATACGTCGGGTTAAAATTAAGATCTATAAAATTTTACATAATAGATTTAATACTGCTATTAATATATTTAAGGCGATTTTTGTAAACTAAACTATATATAAACAGTTAAAAACAAACTGTTTGATTATATATTGATACAATAGTATAGTTTATTTAGTAAACGAGAAAGTAAACTGTATACGAGATTTGTTTAAACATCAGTGTACTGAATCTTAACGTTTCGTGTTGCTTATCAAAATATTTTGATGTTTTAAACTGTTATATATTTATATACTGTTACAATATTGCATCCTGTGTAAACAATTATTTTTCAAAGAAGACAAAATATTAACAATAATTAAAAAGAAAATCAGATATTATGTTGTGTTCTTTATTGTCTGATAAGAAATTTTTAATTGAGGGAATAATATTTATCGAACACAGTTAAAATTCATTTAAGAATTTTCTTTAAATAATTTCAATATATAATATTTTTATAATGGTACATTCTTATTTATGTTTCGTTAAATTGGTTAAGGAATTTTTCATTATTTGTGACATGGAAAAAATATGTAATCCACGCTATATAGGAACTAAAGATTATATGTAAGAAACCAATGTTTAAAATCATTTGCTTGTTTGAAATTAATAAAATAAATATCTTTACAAAGATGTCCTGTACCCCACAATGTGCGTAAACGGATGATATACGGTCATATAAACACTTCATACAAACCACACGATTACATAAAAACAGAATGCATTTTAATATCATTGCTATTTGTATTTCAAAGTATTGTGTCAGAGTACAATACATGTTTACTACAACTTCAACGATTACGTATTTTGTTTACAGTTTACATGAAGTTGTTTCGCTTTTGTTTACCGACCGCGATGTGACTGTCGGTATTTGATTTCGGCTTCTAATTTATAATCATTCGTTACAGTTGTTATACGTGATTTTTTTTAAATGGAATAGATTATGTTTTTGTGGCTATATAAAACCAATTAAAAATC